CATTCTCAGCCACATGTTCCGAAAGGGATTAGTTCCTTATTATAGGTAACTGATACCCTTAGTTATATCCAAAAAACGTACTAAGCAGAGACAGTTCCCAAATGGTAACAACACAAATGACAAATAAACCTATAAAGATGTTACTACTTTTTGTCAACAAATTCTATCAGACTTTACGCAAATATTTAGCAAAACATGCATATAACACTAGTTTTGGTTCATTAAACTAAAAGATAGTACAGGGAAGGTTATAAGTAAGGGAAGTAAATTGACCTTCTTCCTACAAAACTTGAAAAGCGGGGTCAAGTAACGAGCACACTGCTTGAAAGTGGCAACCATAGACTTCCCTTTGGCCGTTCGCTTCTCAGACTCACCCATCTCATCCAATTCTTGCTTCCACTCATTTAACAGCTTCTTGAAAAACACCAGAATTCTATCTTCCCCACATAATTCCTCGAAATTCGCCTTCATTCGCTTCAAATCCTTATCCACATCAACACCACTGGACCCACCATCTCCACTCAAATCATCATCCCCACCACCACCTCCATCTCCATCCTCGCCAGCACCGTCATCGGTCTTCTTCCTCTTCCTCTCGCTCATCATCCCGGACTTCTGCCGCTTCCTCAACTCATCAATATCGCGCAAGAAATCATTAGTCTGTCCCTCCGTCATGTCACTATCGACCTCGAATGTTCCTGCTTTGAGAACGTACTTGAGGCGGTCCAGCCTGGCATCATCGTCTTCGCCGAAGAGCGTGATTGGTTGTTTCAGGAATCGGAGGCGGCGGATGACCTCTTGTTTAGGGAGGACGAGGTTGTCGATGTTCTGTTCGTTGGTGAGGGGTACGGAGGCGTTGGAATTGGCGTTTTTGGTGGAGGAAGAGGTGGTGGCTGTGGCAGTTGCAGCGGCGGCGGCGTCGGAAGAATTTAGGTAGCGTTTGGATTTGGCTTCTAATTCGCGTTTTTCTTGTTCGCGGAGCCTTTGAATTTCTTTTTGTTGGATCTCAGAGCGCTTGAAAACTCTCTTGCCGCCGGTGTCTTCGGCCAGAGATTGGCGTTTCTTCAGAATCTCTTGTTTCAACAGATCCATCTGATTGAGGGATTTGATTTCAACTCACCACATTTCACATTAAGTTCTTCAATTGTGGGCCTGGACAGTCTGGGCTGGCGCATTAATAGCACATATTTATTATTGGGCTTTTAGCCCATTATTTACATGACTGGTGAATGTGGTTGTTCCTATGAATTTGATTTGAATCAATATTCATGGCTTAACAAAATTTGACTATGCCTGCTCTCATTTGTACCTTTTAATATCTCCAACAAATTCACCCTCTATAGCAACAAAATTGAAAGTAATAATTGAAGGATTTTTTATGTTGATACATTTCTCAACATTATAATATATATACATAATAGAACTGTTTTGATGTGTCAACCTAACTAACACCAGGAGAGTGTTAGAGCCTTCAAGAAGGCAACAAAACAAGAAATATGACATGATAGCAGTCTCTACCTCAATTTCAAAATTGTAAGCCCTAATAACCTAACTTCTTATCATCCACGTCAACATTGCTTTACTCCTCTCTCGTGCTAATGCTACCTCTAAGAACTGCAACGAAAACCTCTGGGCCCTTGCTGCAAGCTACATGAATTTGTAGAGACAAGGATCTCTTGGGTATATGCTGAAGTATGGCTGGGGAATGAACTTTAAGATTGATGGGACATTTCTCTCACAAATTGGGGATTATTTTTTGTCATTCCTAGCAAAAGAGTTCTCTATTGAATCATTCACGATGTGTTCATTGACCAACTTTCCTTCCGTCGAAACTCGGCTTCAAGTTGGCCTCATTAACCCAAGTTTCTGCGGTTGTTGAATACAAAGGCTGATTATTATTAAGTAGTTGTTGCCCTTGGGCTGGCAGGGAGTTCATGTAATTCCCTAAAAAAGAAATTTGCATATGACCCTATGAAACTTTTCCTTGCTCCTGAGAAGAACTTTTGTGGGTTGGGGCATTTGATGTGATACCAGATGTTTGGTGAACATGAGAATCTATTGTTAGCATCTTCTTCTTCTAAGTGTAATGTGTATAATAGGTAGCTCACAATCTTATTTTCCATGAGATAACCAAACATTATGATATTGATTGTCATGTATTTCATGACAAAATTCACCATGATCTCATCCAAATTTTACCTATTACTTATTCAGACCAATTGGTTGATGCTTTCCCTCGTGTCCTCCATGAACGGGCATTTGGGCGAGCCACGTGACCGAGAGCGAATGCGCCATGGCTGAGTCATTGGTGCGCCATGACAGAGCACTTGAGCGAGCCACGTGACTGAGTACGATTGGGTCTTAACCAAGTGAATGTGTGTTGTGACCAAGTATATGGTCGAATCTCTTATGCAGACCGACTGTGCTAAGCTCAATAGTGACCGATTATGTCGAGCATAATCTTTCTAGTAATTATTGTGTAACTTAGGCAATAAGTTTAATGTAAAGTAGAGTTAGTTATTTTTTATTGTCCTTTTAGAATAAAGTGAGTTAAATTAGTTCATTTGTAGAAGAAAATCACTTAAAAGGAGTAACACCCAAAGTTTCTATATTTATGTAATTTTGTAACCATATCTTTTTTTTTAATTGAATAAAAATGCCTTGAATAGTTTATTTTTCATTCTCCATGATTTCTAAGAAACTCCAACTATAAATAACTCTGAGCATCAAAGCATGACACACTCTTTGCTTTCTCACCTTCCTCGTTTCCTTTTCTCTCTGATCACTGTACATACACCTGCAACACATTCAATTCAATACCTCTCTCTATCTTTCTTCAAAATCAATAATTAATATAAAGGGATTGAGAAAATTAAAAATTGAGAAGCAATGGAGTTGAGTAAAGTCACCTTAGAGATTTTCTCCAAACTAGAGCACAAATGGCTCTCTCATTATCAAACCAATAACAAAACCCGCATTCTCAGCATTGACGGTGGAGGAACCACCGCCGTTGTTGCCGGAGCTTCCCTCATTCACCTCGAGGATCAGATCCGTCTCCAAACCACCGATCCCCAAGCTCATATTACCGATTTCTTCGATATCATCGCCGGCACTGGCATTGGCGCCATAATCGCCGCCATGATCACCGCTGCAGATGCCTTCGGCAGGCCTCTCTACACCGCCAGAAATGCAGTACGCCTCATTATGGAGAGGAACTCCGAACTGTATAAGGTCAAAATGAGCGGATTTTTTCGCCGGAGCCGGAGATTCTCGTCGAGGAGCATGGACAACGTGTTGAAGCAAGTTTTCCAGAGAAAGGAGAAAAATGGACGGTTGTTGACCTTGAAGGACACGTGTAAACCACTCCTTATCCCTTGCTTCGACATCAAGAGTTCAGCGCCATTCGTGTTTTCACGCGCCGACGCGTCCGATTCTCCGAGTTTCGACTTCGAACTCTGGAAAGTATGTCATGCCACGTCAGCGACTCCAAATAATTTCAAGCCTTTCAACTTCACCTCCGTCGACGGAAAGACCTCATGCTCAGCCGTAGACGGCGGCCTCGTGATGAACAACCCTACAGCTGCGGCCGTGACACACGTCCTCCACAACAAGCGCGATTTCCCGTCAGTGAACGGCATTGAGGATCTCATGGTTCTCTCATTGGGTAACGGATCATCAAGCGCGAGAACAAGCGAGAATAGCAAACGGTCAACGCTCTCTGTAATTGACATTGTACTTGACGGTGTTTCTGATACCATTGACCAAATGTTGGGTAACGCCTTCTGCGGGAACCGTACGGATTACGTCAGAATTCAGGTACGTGAATGAATGAATGAACAGTAGTACTTTTTTTTTCCTGTTATATCTCTGATATCTACAGAATAAAATAAAAATGGCAGAAAAGTAAAGGAAATAGAAATGGAATAATAATATAATTGAATTCACTATGGCTGATGCAGGCTTTCACTTTGGGAACAAAGAAGGAGGTGCTGAGAGAGAAGGGACTAGAATCGTTACCGTTTGGCGGGAAACGTTTATTGACGGAAACTAACGGAGACAGAATCGAAAGCTTCGTGCAACGTCTTGTTGCCACCGGAAAAACTAGCACACCGTCTAGCCCCGGCAAGGAATCTGCCGTTACATCTGTCGTAAACGGCCGCTAATTTTTTTTAACCGTTTTCCATTTTAGATTTTTACTGTAAGTGGTTATTGTAACCAATGGTTTTTATCTGGCAATGCCAGTTGTCTGAGTAAATTGCATTTAATAATTCTCTCAGTAGAGTTAGTTAATTATAATTCCATTTCACACTTCCTCCTCTACTCTATTTTTCATTTTGAAAATAATAGAGTTTACTTAACACAATTGGTTAAAAGTTAGATGGAAACTGCTAATAAGTAGAAAGCTAAAAATTATGCTGATTGATTTAAAATAAAATGTCCAATACAATTAATTCATTAGCTAGCTACTGAATATAAAATAACGTAAAAGAACACATTTATAAATAAAATAAATGTAATATTATTTACTATTTTTACTAGTATTATGTAAAAATAAGGGTATTGTCGTATAGCTTCTATTTAAATAGTGGGATCTAATATTCCCATTCTCTTCACAGTTTTAAATTCCTAAAAATGTTATTTGTGTTGATATCTTATTAATAATCTTTTATTAAATGTAAAAATCTCACATTAAGAATATAAATTAAACAACCAAGCGCCACCTAAGTTAAATTTAGAGAGTCAAAGCTAAGTGGCAAAAGCTGTAAAGAAAAATGTTTAACCGGTAGTTTTACTTTATACACTACATCCAATAATCTTCAGGACTAGGGTCCCCGTCCTAATATTATTCACTGTCATGATCCGATTAAAAATTAAAGAACGTTGTCCTTTTGGAAAATAGTTTTTTTACGTTCTAAATACTAGATTTGTGCATAACGTAAATAACAAATTTCTGTTGTTATATAACTTTTCTTCCGTTTTCCCTTGAGCTGAATATGGACGCAGTTGGGACCAAAGCTGATACTTAATACTCACTTGTACTACTCACTTCGCATGTTGAAAGGTTTGATCTTTAAAATTAATAAAAATATATATACCCATATTGTATGAGTTTTTTACCCACAAACATATCAATTCACAAAGGTGCATGTAATAGACGATTTACAATTACTGAGATAACAATGTTAGACCTTATTATTTCATAAAGTTAAAGTGTTATTATATCTTAGTGTTGGAAGAAATAACTTAACTATTTATACAATAGACTCAACTAAATTATCTTAGACCCGATCTGGTGATTGAGTTAGGTGATTACAGTGTAGTACTTCTCTCTCCCACTATTAGCATCACACACTGGGTACACCGCTTATGCCACTAGCATTAAATAGCCTGTAATACTTGCTGCCATATATGTCACTATCTTCCTTGGCTTTCCTTATGTTCATACTCATAATTTTCGAAGCTTTTTGTTAAGTGTAGCAGGATGGCACTTTACAAGTTAGGTAACATAGTAGCATAACACACACACAGAGAGATATACATACATATATATATATATATATATATATATATATATAGAGTTTTGCGCATCATTATCATTAACTGAAGCGATAATGACATTAGGTTAAACTAAGACAAAGATATTTCACGGCTTAGGCATTAGCCAATATAAAAACAGGATCATGGTCCTGGTTGGACAACCTGTTTGAGTTGTATTTGCTCCCACTTAATAACAGAATATGGACATAGGATATTCACATTATTCATTTCTGGGTTTCACCTTAAATGTGATGGGGGCATCTCTAAGGATCGGAATAAGGGGGGACCGTAACCATTTTCTTAGCTTCTGTTTTAGTCTACCAATGTGGAAGGGAAATTCCCATAAGGATTTTATATGTCATCGTTAATATCCAACTTATAATTTTGTTTTCATTTTCACTTAGGAGGGCAAGGAGGCTTTCTTAGCTTTGGATGAAGATCTGAATGTTGTTGGATTCTTCTGTGCACCATTAGAGCAAATATCATTGACATATTATTAGTTTGCTCTCAAGTCCTTGTATCTTTATTATTTCAAATTATTGCATTAAATGATTTTATAATAAAAACTAGAAATATAAGGCATTGTCCTACTTAGTATTTGATTTTTTTATTAACTAGAAAAGTTCTAACAAAAATATAAGGCATTGTAAAAGTGTGAGATTAAAGTAAATGCTTTAGTTGCAATATTGTTTAACCATTGAGATCCAGAAGTGTTAGATTTAATTTTTTTAATGTTAAATTACTTTTATTTTTCTATTCTTAAAAATTATGATGAAATACTTGTTAACAAAATCCTTATATGCACTGTTTATAATTGTCTATTTTTCTTTATACCAAAAAGTTCACCTCTAGTATAGAACTGAAGCCTAAGAACCATGGTCTTCGGTCTTCAATTAGTAACGTGGCCATATTAAAAGCCACACACAAGAGTTTTCCAACATGAATCTGAAAAGAATTCCCGCCTGAACCATAGTAAAAGCTGAAGCTACCCTAGTAAGTAGTAAAGCACTAAAGCTCAAGTTGTTAACCTTATAATAATTTTGACAGTTTAATAAGAATTGAAAAAGCTTAAAAAGTTTGCACCATAAGTCCATAATATATTTATTAATGGATAGTTGGTGCCTAATGCCTTCTTACCAAAGCTTATTTTAAGGGGAGTTTGTTTCCTTCTTTTGCTAAAGCAGATTCTAATTTTGTCAAGACAAACTTGAGTGATAAGTATTAAGAGCAAGGGATTCCCCACAAGAATAAAATATTAAAGAGAAAAAGAGATATAAAGTAAATGCTGTTTTGGCATTAATGAGCCATATATTAAAATAAGGATTCCTAATTTAAAGTGTCATAGAACGGATGGCTAGCTTTTTGTCCATTCAATCTACTAGTTAAAACGACATTCAATATCAATGCGGAAATAAAAAGCTAGATTTAGCTTAATTAATTGGTTGGTACGCAACCCAATTCAACATTCACCAAAGTTTTGATAACCACATATTTCATACATCGTATACAAATTAGGCTCAAACATTATTTTGATTTTTATGCTATTAAGTTTAATTTGATGCTATAGTAAAATAAAGTGTTAATTTATCTTTCTTTGCCAATTTCACCTTATTATCATAACATTAATTATATTAAAGAAAAAGACATCTAACCATTGTTTTCATGTGAAAAAAATACATATTTCAATGGTGGAAAATGAATACATGTCAAATTAGACATATTATATTGTAAATCTAATTAAGATTTTTATGATAGAAGAGTGAAATAGATAAACATTTGAAAGATACATGACTAAATTGATGTGACTAATTTAACCCTTTATTTTATTACAACACCAAGCCAAAATATATAAATAATATAAAGCAACAAAACAACATTTTAATTCCTATAAATTAAGAAAAGAACATATCAATATCAATTGAGAGAGAGTAGAGATCCTCTCAATTAATGGAGAGACAAATGAGGTTATTACATTTGGTTTTAAGGACAAAAAAGTCATTACAAATATAATAGAAATGATGAATTGTCTTTTCATTTTTCATTTTATATTGTTTTACATCTCACTTGTCTCACCAGACAGAATCCCTAGTAAGGAAGATTAAAGACATTGTGAGGTTGAAGTGACTAATACTCTAGTATGGAAGGGTAACGTAGAACCCACTTGACTGAAACAAGTTATACTCTTTTTTAAATACTATAGATCCCCATGCATTCTCCACCAAACTAGGCATGCCAAAGCTTTAATGTTTCATAATAATAGAATTCCCTGCAACATTTTATATATGTATTATTTGTAATGGCATTATAAAACGATCGAATTTCAAATACATGATGCGAAAAGTGTCCCAAATAACAACGATTGGGCATGCGTGCAAACAACTTCAAAACTAATATAGCCCCACCATGGTTTGATGAATGGGTATAATGAAGGACAAAGATGCATTTTTAGGTTAATGAAAGAATGAAAAGAATCGTGCTAGATTAATATCTTATCAACTACGTTAGAAAATAACTTGGGGAGGAAGAGATAGGATGTCCTCCACAGTTTACATAATGAGAAAGTTCAATGCAAAATTGTACTAATTTAACGATTGATTTAAAATTGTGTTTTATTAATTAAAATAATAAAATTCATTTATACTTAATTATTTGCAAATATTAAACCATATTTAAAACCAGGATTCATTAAGTAAACAACCTAACAGTCTATAACTAATAAACTACTAATTTTAAGTGTGTAGTGCTGAATTTACAAAAGAATTAAACTTCAAGACATATTTTTAATAGCTAACTATAAATGATTAAACATTTAAATATATTTAATTATTAAATAAGTCTATGAGAGACCCGTCATAACTTTAGCATACATCACATTTGTCTTTATTATTGTGTGAGATAATGGAGTAGTGATTATCTTTGAGAGATAAATTATATTTTTATCCTTATAAGCTTAAGGATTAAAATGTAATTACATGTGTAAATAGAAATACATAATTGTGTTTTAAATTTCATTTATACCTTATTTTATTTATTACTTATTTCTCTATTAACGGAGATAATTGTTAATTTTAATTGCATGCATGTCAACCCAAATTTATAAGTCGTGCCATGCAATATATCGCTAGCTCTATTATTAAAAGAAGAGAGAATTTCAAAGCTCATTATTCTGTTAAATGAATATTTTACCGTTATTGATCGACATTGTTGACGGAAAAGAAAGTACCAAAATGTTAAAGTATTATAATGAGTACTGTACTATGTACTAATTAACAAGCATACGGCTAGATATAAATTGATGTTAATGTCAGAGTAAAAGCTGATTGAATTTCCTGAATTATGAGTTGGTAAGTCCATTAAAAGTGCTAGATTCAAGTATCATTCTTTGAAGAGAATACTCTTTTTGACCAGGTTGACCAAGCCATTATTGAAAAACCAAAATTATTTTCCTTCTGACAAATAGCTTTTACCCCAAAAGGAAATTAGGTGTAACATGCTATAACCAGGGCTCTCCGAGACAAGGGGGTGCTTTACATTGACTAAGATTTTTACTACTCCAAAATTAATTAATTAATTTAATTGTTTTATAAGTATTTTTTTGGGAGAAATTTAAATAAGTTTATAGAGTAATTAACATTGTAAATCTCTTAAAAAAATTAGACCGTAATTGGTTGGGTCACTGAACATTGAACGCACAAGAAACTTGCACGTGAGGTTCTCTATACATATGTTAATTATAATTCTGTTAAGCGATCATCTTTCAGGTATTTTTAAGTGATTACAGGTGTTTGAGTCACATTATTTTATTATGGTTAATTTGTAAGTTTTATAAACAAAATTACTTATAAACCTTATGCTTTGAAGTTTTAGATTAAAATATGGTATTTGATCCACTTATTATAATTCTTAATTATTCTTTTAACTATTATTTGAAAATTTCATGGACCTTTGGACTCCTCCCTCCTGAAGTTATCTACAAAGTTTTGCAGTTTTTTAAAACCCTAACAGGAAGTGTGGGATGACCTAAGCATAACTTCTCCAGACCCAGTTTTTCTTTTAACATGTTGTTTTCTCTCTTTTAAAATATTGTGGTCATTTTTTCAACAAGTATCAGTCTAAATTATTAAATATTGGCTTTTGGCCACCTTATATATTATCCTAAAGGTCTAATTTCATGCCTACCATTACCTATTTGACATTTTAAAATTTTATCAGCCATTCTTACATGTGTCCTCCTCACAACTTATATGAAGAAAAAAATAATTAAAAAATCACCTTGTAGCAGGAAAATACTAAAGAAATACTTTTTCATTTGTAAACAACTCTCACTTTGGATTAACCATCATAATACTACCTTAAAATAAGGACCTCTCACACCCGTATCCAAAAATTTCATCCATATGATAACATTACCTATTATCCATCATGTTTTTAGCATTCACCACCTGACACAAAATCTAGGATAATTGTTCAAATTGTGGGATAGGTAGTGTTAACCCTTTCAAATACCAGTTTAACTTGGAAAAATTACAATTGTTCTGGAGAAGCCACAACCAACAATTGATCCAGCCAAATGAGCATATGGACATGTGTTAACAAGGTTTATATATGTACTCTTCGAAGTACCATTTCCAAGGCCCAAAACTATGGCATCAAGAACTAATCTTGTTCAAAATAATAAAAAATAGTTATGACTCTAATAATAAAAGTGAATTCGGGTGAAAAAGATGGTATTATTGTTATGATCATTTTTATTGGCTAGTGTTAACGTGTTTACTTCCCACCCTCCTATGGGGGAAGAGAAGAACTTGTATTGGTAGTTCATGCTTGAACAAATGTAACAAACTCTGAATTGCTTAGTCTTATTCATACTGATTTTGTAGACATGAAACAAACTATATTTTATAGGTGGTAAAACTATTGTGTCACCTTGAACTTGTGTATGATACTTTATTTCTTTAACATTCATATAAATTATTTTCATTTAAATGTCAATATCTATTGATACATGAATGATAACAATGAACGCTCTCTCTCTGACTACTTGAAAGTTTCTTATGGTGATCTAGTCCAATAAATACAATGTTTTCATCATTTCCCATATTGTCCTACTTAGTATTTCATTTGTTTTTAATTTTTTATCATTTCCCACACAAAGGCATCACATTTTCCCATAAATACACATTTTTTTTAATTTCAAATTTTCTGCAGCTCCACCAGAAACCGTACAATCATCAAAATTTATGTATCTTCTCTTATAATCATCAAAAGACGGTGCTTCACACTCTATCTAGGGTTTTTCGCTGTTCCTCATCATAATCTCGCATTCTCACTCAGGTACCGAATCCTTTCTTTCTCTTCTTTGTTTCTTTTGGATGATGTTCTTTTATTATTATTTTTTCTGTCAAGGACTTTAGTTTTTTGCCCCTCTCCTATTTTTTTAACTTCTTTCCGAGGGTGGGGGTCATAAAATTAAACAATGTTATGCTCTTCACCTCATCCACTTCTCCACAATGTGAGACTTCTTTATTCACACTTGGAATACGAACACCATTTGAATAGCACATATGCATACACAGGGAACGCACTGTTAATTGGGTCTTTGTAATTTCATTCCTTGGTCTTTAATTTGAGAGTAAAGTCTTATAACAAT